AATCCCAGCACTTTGAGAGGCCAAGAAGAGAAGATCGCTTGAGCCCAGGAGTTTGAGGTTAAAGTAAGCCAAGATAACACCATTCTACTCCAGCCCAGGTGGCAGAGCGAGACCCCTGTCTCTACCCAAACAAAAGAAACAAAACGTTGCCAGTCCTTCTCTTCCCCACTCCCCAGAAACCATCTGTGTGTGTCCCTTTCCAGGAAAAGTAACCACTATCCTAACTGTGACTCTTATGATAATCATTTATTTGCTTTTCTTTAAGTTTTACCACCCATGTATGTATGTACATATCCCAAAAATACAGAGTTTCACTTATTTTTGAACTTCATAATGGCAAGAATTTACACAGAACTTGCTGTGTGCCAGGAAGTCTTCTAAGCTCTTTCCAGGTATTAACTCAACTCATCCTCACAGCAATCCTATAAACTATCATCAGCATTTTACAGACAAGAACGCTGAAGCCCAGCGAGGTGAAGTAATTTGCTCAGATTCACATGGATACTAAGTGGCAGAACCGGGATTTGAACCCACACAATCTAGCTCCAGAATCCATGCTCTTGCCAAGCATACCATGCTACCTCTCAGACTGTTGGCTTCTTGGTCAGAATATCCCCCAAACAGTGACAGCTCTACACCAGACCCTTACTTACTCTAGGTAAGCAGACACTCTGGGGAGGCCTGGAGGCTCACGGACACTTGGGCCTGTTTCCACAGAAGATGAGGAACTGACACTTTTGCCAGAGGATGCTGTCTTGGCAAAACATCCCTTAGATTCCAGAAAATCACTGCAGTTAGCACCTGCAACACAGAGATATCACCATCTAATTATATTATTGAAAATACATTCTGCCCTATTTTGTTTCCTAGATTATAAATAAATTTTTAAAACAGCTAACATTTACTGAGCATTTACCTTGCACTGAGGATTATGTCAACACCTTATACATGTTATCCCATTTAATCCCTATAACAATCAACAGGCATAGGTATTCCTTATTATCCCCATTTTATGGTTGAGAAAACCGAGGCTGAGAAGGTTAAACTTGCCTATGATCACATAAAAAGTAAACATCTAGGCCGGGCACGATGGCTCATGCCTGTAATCTCAGCACTTTGGGAGGCCAAAGTGGGTGGATCACTTGAGATCAAGAGTTAGAGACCAGCCTGGTCAAAATGGTGAAACCCGTCTCTACAAAAATACAAAAACTAGCTGGGCATGGTGGTGCACTCTTGTAATCCCAGCTACTTGGGAGGCTGAGGTGGGAGGATTGCTTGAACCCAGGAAGCAGAGGTTGCAGTCAGCCGAGATCACATCACTGCATTCCAGCCTGGGCAACAGAGACTCTGTCTCAGAAAAAAGAAAACATCTAGGCTCATATTTCATTACAGCTCTGTGACACTAAAGCCTGAAATCCTAACGCCTGTACTAGACTGCTTGCCCCTACCCACAGTTCACATTCTGTGAACTAAGTGGAAGACCTAGGATCTGAAGTGAGCCGTATAGCACTGTACATTGTATTAGGCATCTCAATATAATTTTCCAAAGGATTTGTTCATAGAAAAACTGATGAATATAATGGTGATCACAACCCAAAGAACGCCCTCAAAAATTTCTGTGGGTTCCCCTCACAGTTCTTATTCATCTTGTTAGCATCCATAACAGTGCCTGGCACAAAGCAGGTGCTCAATAAATGTTTGAGTGAATAAATGAAAAAGAATTATAACTCCCCAGCCACCCACAGTTACAAGTAAGGGAGTCCTGAAAACCAGTGAGTGTCAGACAGAGACGAGTACCCATTATCTTCACTCTGCCTATACTACTAATACTTCATGAAAGTCAATTTGTTCTGTTATCATTTCCTACAGTTATGTACCTCATCCAGCCACAAAAATAAAAAGTCCGATGAAAAGATTGTGCATATTTCTTTATGCATCATTTCATAGAGCACTGAAGCTCAATAGATGGCAATGTAACCTCTAGTAATGAGAAAATTGTAAGAAATAAGAGTCAAACTTCTCTGATTCTTGAGGACATTTTTAGACTGACTACTATTCCACCTACACAGTATCATGCTTCACACATATAGAGTCATCTTTTGGTATTGACAGGGGATTGGCTCCAGGACCCCCGCAACACAAAAATGCAAAGATGCTCAAATCCTTTATCTGAAACAGTGTAGTATTTGAATATAACATATGCACATCCTCCTGTATGTTGTACTATAAATCATCTCTAGATTACTTGTAATACCTAATACAATGCAAATGCTATGTAAATAGTTGTTATATATTTATTTGTATTATTTTTGTTGTTATACTGATGTTTTCTTTTCTTTTCTTTTCTTTTCTTTTTTTTTTTTTGAGACTGAGTCTCACTCTGTCACCCAGGCTGGAGTGCAGTGGTACAATCTCAGCTCACTGCAACCTCCACCTCCAGATTCAAGTGATTCTCATGCCTCAGCCTCACAAGTAGCTGGTATTACAGGCACCTGCCACCACACCTGGCTAATTTTTGTATTTTTAGTAGAGACAAGGTTTCACCATATTGGCCAGGCGGATCTCGAACTCCTGGCCTCAAGCAATCCGCCCGCCTCAGCCTCCCAAAGTGTTGAGATTACAGGTGTGAGCCATGACACCCAGCCTTGTTGTTTCCTTTTTGAATATTTACTATGGGCAGTTGGTTGAATCTGCTGATGCAGAACCTGTTGATATGACTGTATACTATAAACGATGCAAATTCCCACCATCTAGCAGCAGGACTGCTACTCAGACAGTTTTTTATCCATTTCCTCTCAAATTTCATATCACAAGTGAATAATATCTTTCCCACTCTTATCAAGTCCCAATCTATCACTAAACCTTTCACTCCTAAGAGGACTTTGCCTGTGACTTTACAAAGCTTAAAGTTCAGCTGAGCTATTTCCTCCCTTCAAAATTCTCTCACTCTGGGACTTCTCAGGACATGGCACGAGGCCTATCTGCATCAGAATTACCTAGGAAGCCTGTTTAAAATACAGATTCCCAAATTCCATCGCAGACCTATTGAATTAGAATCTCTCCAAGTGAGGCCTGGGAACCTGCATTTTGAATAAGCCCCTACCCTCACCCCTGCTCTTCATTTAGGCTCACGTTTGGCAGTGATCTCCTTCTTTAAGTCTAGTTCCATCACTGTATTTTATCCCGTTCCACTTCCAGATTCCCAACTGTACAGAACTTCCTGAATTTGCCCAGTCATGAGAATCCCCTTGGGCAACTTGTTCAATATGCAAACTCCAGGGCTCTGACTCAGACCTACAGTGTGGGAGCCAGGATATTTAAGAAGCACCTCAGGTGATTCTTAGGGTCAGCCAAGTGTGGGAAGTGCTGCTCTGGAATATGCCCCAGAGCCTAGAGCAGCCCCCAGCACAGTGAGGGCCAACTGGTTGCTTAAGGTGTAACTGGGATGGAGCCAAGCCCAGGGGAGGTGGCAGGAAAGCACAGAGCTGTGAGGACGAGAGGACTGGTCCCCAGTAATCAAAGGAAGAACCACCCATATACAAAGCCACAAAAGAAGTATCAACAATACATAGACCACACTCTCTGACCACAATGCAATACAATTAGAAATCAATAATAAAAAGACAGCCAAAAAGTATCCATAAGCTTGGAAACTCAAACCACGCTTCTAAATAATTCACATACAAGAATAAATTGTAATGGAAATCATGAGGTGCCTAATGATCAATGAACATTAAGTACTGTATATCAAAACTTGTGGGATTCAACTAAAGCAGTAATTAGAAATCTGAAACCTTAAATGCACATGCTGTATTTCACTGAATATAAGGCATCATCAATTGTAATAGCATTGTTATTTTATGTATCACAAAGAACAAAGGCTGCCAATTAAACTATGACACATGTTTTCATCACTTAGAATTTTTATTTTATACTTATTGAGGCATTCTTTTAGATTTACTTATAGATTTTGATCACATATCACTCATGCACTGTATAAAGAAGGAAATTATAAGCAAAATAGACTGGTTAAGGCATTCTTAAATCTTATGCATATTCAGAAGTCTGACTACTAAATCACTTTCAACTCAATTATTAATGTCCACATTTTCCACCTAATACTGACCTAAGATTTCAATTAAAATGTGAGTTGAGTGATGCAGCATTTCTTTCTTTTCTTTCTTTCTTTTTTTGTTTTTTTTTTTGAGCCGAGTCGCCCAGGCTGGAGTGCAATGGAGCGATCTCAGCTCACTGCAATCTCCGCCTCCAGGGTTCAAGAAATTCTCCTGCCTCAGCCTCCCGAGTAGCTGGGATTACAGGTGTAAGCCACCACATCCTGCTTGCTTATTTATTTGTTTATTTACTGGAGACAGAGTCTCCCTCTGTCCCCCAGGCTGGAGTGCAGTAGTGCGATCTCAGCTCACTGCAACCTGTGCCTCCTGGGTTCAAGCGATTCTCCTGCCTCAGCCTCCCGAGTGACTGGGATTACAGGTGCCCACCATCATGCCTGGCTAATTTTTGTATTTTTGGTAGAGACAGAGTTTCACCATGTTGGCCAAGCTGGTCTCAAACTCCTGACCTCAGGCGATCCCCCCGTCTCAGCCTCCCAAAATGCTGGG